GATGAGCATTCAGGAGTCCAGTGACCATATTTAGAAGAGCCACATGCCTGTAGCCAAGTTCATAACTTTTGTACAGTACCTGAATTCAGCTCTATGCAAAGTCATGATTGAGTTTACTACTGCAATAGAGATACAAAGTATGTGGAGTATATATTTTGTAGACATACAAACTTGTATTCTGTACATACAGTCTGCACCTAGGAATGAAGACAATGATGCTGCTTTAGAGGTTGTAGAGAAGAGAAGTTTTAAATGTATTCTTAAATATTTGTGAGAATCTAATCTGGTGCGAGGAAGGAGGGTTCTGAGGTGGATGTAAGTCAAAACGCCACTGCTCAGTTTAAAAGATACTTCAATTTCTCCACTTTGCAATCCAGATTGGCACTAACCAGCACATAAAGAAAATAAGCCAGAGTAATGTTGTGTTAGGAGATGAATGGCCACATGAACTTCCTGTGATTTGTTCTCTCACCTCATTTTTTTTCAAAGTACTTTATCAACAGGTCATAGAAAAAACTGAAAGGAGACAAGCTGTGGCCTTCTGGAGGAAGATTGTGAAAAAGAAGGAGGGTAACATTAGTGAAACACAAAGTTGGAAGGTATGCAAAGGTAAAGCTGAAGGCTGAGTATATGAGTATTGACTGAAAGGTGACAAAGATGCGATGAATAGCCAGATCCTCAGAGAGAGACAGGAGACTGAGGTGTACTAAGCCATGACTAAATGCTGAGGATGGCATGGGGAAAGCAAGAAAATTGGGGGGAAAGCAAGGAGTGACACTGAAAGAAATAGGCAGGGTTGGTGAATATATGGTGCTAGGGAGAGATGAAACAGAAGAAAATGTACTAGAAGATCAAAGTAAGCAGCCTGAGGGGGATAAAAGACTCTTGGAAAATGGGAAAGCTGTGTGGCAGACAGTACAAACCACAAACATGGCAGGATGAGAGAAGACAGTAGGAATGCCATATGTGACAAAGATTACTATTTTCACATGACTTGATTTTGATGCATAGAGTTGAGTTTGAGAGACCTTCTTCTTAGAAGATAAATAAATTTAATCTAATAATTCCTAAAACAGGAATATTTCTAATTTCCTAATTTTGGGAAGTAGAGCACGGTTTTGAGACATACTGATGACTAAAGAAACCCTCCTTTTTTTCCCCCTAAGGCATAATTTTTGAATTCCAGGCCACTGTCTGCAGAATCCCACAGATCACAAAATAAAACACAAAATAAACATATCCCACATATAGCAGCAGCTTCACCAGCCATACTTCCACTCTAGGTACACAGACCTTTTTTTTTTTCAAACACTAAATTAGCATAATCCTGCTGAAGACTACTTTGGAGCATGTGCAAATTGGGTAGCTATTCAGCAGGTGTTTACAGTGGGGTTTTTAAAGGTCATGATAACATTCCATGGGCAAGAGAGACAGTTCAGGCCTGTGCTTTGATTTCACGTTGAGCTTTACACCCATACAACAAAGCAGTCTACTAACCAGGCCATCTTTAAATTTTGGATATGCATAGTGTGCTCAGCTCTTTTATTAGCCTACTCCCAAGAAATGAAGAAAAGGGCATCTGTTCTTCTTGTTTAAAATCAGCAAAACACAAGAAATTGTGTCACGAACACACACATACAAGTGTACCTAGCTTACACACTAATGCCATCTGCTCACACTGTCACAGTTCTCTCAGCATCAGTAAATTTGGTTCAAGGATCAACAGGATTATTTCAGAGGTTTTTATCCTCTGCTGTCTTTAAATTATTCTTGAAATATCTGGGACAGCTGGAAAATCAATGACCAATTTTAAGTTTTCTTATTTGTTACTCTATTTTTATTACACAGACTATGTTCCCTGATCTGATTTCTCCCTGGTGGCTGTTCTGTGCTCTGCTAAGATGCCACCCTCAACGCACAGGAATCTTTCCTTGGTTACCAGCAAACTTAGAGAAACTGTTGTTCTTATCTCCTGCTGATGCTGGAGGTGGAAAACCCACCAAAACTTCTTTCTTGTTTAACTGCATGGCTTAACATGCATTTACCACTCCAGTGCTGTGAGATCCACCTCCACACTCCCTATATCTGTGTCATACTTTAACCCCAGTCAATTCAGCCCAGCCACTCACTCACTCTCCCACCAGTGGGATGTGGGAGACAACTGGAAGGGTGAAAGCTGGAAAACTCATGGGTTGGGATAAAGATAGCTTAATAAGGAAAGCAAAAGCCATGCAAACAAGCAAAGTAAAACAAGGAATTAATTCACTGCTTTCCATGGGGCGGGCAGGCGCTCAGCCATCTCCAGGAGAGCAGAGACCCATCACATATAGTGGTTACTTGGGAAGACAAACCCCATCACTCCAAACTTGCCCCCGTTCTTCCTTTTTCCCCCCAGTTTATGCACTGAGCATGATGTCATAGGGTCTGGAATATCCCTTTGGTGAGTTGGGGTCACCTGTCCTGTCTGTGTCTCCTCCCAGTCTCTCATGAACTCCCAACTTCCTCACGAGTGTGGCAATACAGAAAACCAGAAAAGGCCCTCTGTACAAGCCCTGCTCAGCAATAACAAAAACATCTCTATGTTATCAACCCTGTGTTCAGCACAAACCTAAACCACAGCTCCATACCAGCAACTGGGAAGAAAATTAACTCTACCCCAGCCAAAATCAGCACACACTGCTTTGGAGAGCAATGCTTCGGGTGCAGTGATGACCTCCTGACAGAGGACGGAGTACTATGTATTTGAGGACCTGACTAGAAATTCAAAATTCAGGTGGCTATTGCTGATCTGCTGTGAGATAGCACCAGTAGAGGTATCACTGCTGGCATGTTAGAGAATTTGTGTATATCTACATGAGTTGTAGGCACAGCAGTAGCTGCAGTGTAGATATTGTGATCAAGCACAACATGTTGCTGTCCCAAACTGTGACTTTTTTTGTGTCCCTATAGGTTTGTTGTGGTCACTGTCATTTTTATTTCTCTCCCTCTCCTTCTATGATCACATATGAGATAGTCTGAGTAGTTTTCACTGTATAGCAGTGAAACGGATGCCACTCTGTGGGAATAAACCAGTACTGCAAGGAGTGAAAATGGACTGGGCTCCGTCGTTTAAAATCCTTCTAGTAACTCAGTTGCTGCATGGACACGTAGCCCTGTTCAGCGGGGAAGAAAATGATGTCGAACTGATTTCTGCCCCAGAATGCAGCTTACTGATGTATTATGTCTTATAATACATAAATCGTCATTCTGCTCTAGAAAACAAACTGTGGTTTCTATGTCTGTACATAAGCACAACAGAAAATAAGAATTAGAATTGTTAATGATAAGACTAGTAAGAGATCACTATGGCTTAATTAAGATCTCTTCGCATAGATGACATGCAAATGGAAATGTTCAGAAAACATAAATGAGCTACAAGCACAGGGCTCAAGTGTTAGTGAGAAAAAGGGAGTCACTGAGTACACAGAAGGGAAGAGGTATTAAGAATAAGAACTTATACTACGAATATGGTACTGATAAGAGGAAACTCAATGAAAAGAATGGCTTGCTATTCATGGTGAGCTGAAATTATTCTGGGAAAAGTTCAAGTGTTTGCTATCTCACCCTGAATAAACTTGTTCCCCAGAATGATTTTACAATTCCAGTTATTTCCTGAAATTAGTTCTTGGTAGGCAAAGATCAAGTTTAAGAACACCTGTGAAAGTTGTATGTTTTCAGACTGCTCTGCTTAACTTCACCACACAGTAGGGAAAATTTAGAGCCATTAATAGTTCTTTTCACCAGCATGTGGAAGTTGAATGGAAAAGACAAAAATGGTGTCTTTTTTCAGTAGGGAAATCCAGCCAAACCCTCAGAAACAAGTAAACTTAAGTTCCATCTGCAAGGGAAAAAAATGCTGAAAAGATGAGAACAACAAACCTTAATATGGCTACATTATGAACATGTCAAGTTAGTGTAATTTGACTTTGGACTGACCTAACTGTAGCCTTCCAATGCCTGAAGGGAGACTACAAGAAAGATGAAGAGGGACTATTTACAAGGGCATGGAGTGACAGGACAAAGGGTTTAGTTTAGATATGAGATACAAATTCTTCCCTGTGAGGGTGGTGAGGCCCTGGCACAGGTTGCCCAGAGAAGTTGTGGCTGCCCCATCCCTGGAAGTGTTCAAAGCCAAGGTTCAATGGGGCTCTGAGCAACCCAGGATAGTGGCAGGTGTCCACTCAGGGAGTGGAACAAGATGAGCTTTAAGGTCCCTTCCAACCCAAACCATTCTACAAATTTCCTTCAGTTCCTTCAAGGTAGGTAGTCTGGTGAGCAAAGAAAAGGCAAATGTCATGAGCAAAGGCAAATGTCATGTATCTGGGAGTTGGCAGATCTTTGACAACATTTCACTTGGGAAGCTCAGGAGCGAACTAGTTTTGCTGAAAATACTGTAGGATTGATGCAGAAATGGTTACAGATCTGCTCTGAGAAGGCAAAGTTAGCACAGGCCTTCAAAATCAGAATGGATGTAAAGATGTATTAAAGGGTTTCTGCTGAGCCCTGACCAGGATCTGGTGTACATTCATGCCCTCAGCGACTGATAAATAACCCTCAGTGACAGCCTGTGTACACATTGGTAATCCTAAATACTACTGATGAACTTCAGTACTGAAATACTGAAAAAAAGGGGGGGGGGGAGGAGAAGAGAAAGATAAAAGGTATCAGGGCGTGTGGGTAAGGTCTGCCAGGGAAGCAGCACCAGTGTAGGAAAGGCTCTAGGGGATCCCAAACCGTACATGGAGCAGGACTATCAGTATTTTGACAAAAAAAAAAAAAAAAAAAAAAACAAACACAGGACATATTGAAGATGTCTAGTGTTCAGACAGGCACAATTCAGACAGACAGTTCAGACGGGCCACGCCGGGGAGGGTAATCCCCCGTACGGCGCTGTCCCCTCGCCGCCCCGCCCCGGCGCTGACGGCGGCCGGGAGCGGCCAAGCCGCTTCATCCGGGCGCACCCGCCTTCTTCTCCTCCTCCTTCTCGGTGCTCAGTGCCTGGCCATGGACCTGTGGAAGGTGCCGCTGCTCTTCTCCCGCCTGCATATGTTCCCTTTCTTCGACCTGGCGCACTATGTCGCCTCCGTGGTGGCGTTGAAGGAGCAGCGGGGTGAGCGGGTGGGGGGGGGACGGGACGGGACGGGACGGGACGGGACGGGCACCTCCCACCCCCTCATCCCAACCCCGGTGTTCCTTCGTCGTGTCCCTGTGTTTCCCTGTGTCTCTCCACCGTGTTTGTGTGTGTGTCCTGTATCACCCGGGATCCCCAGCCCCGGCAGGATGACGGTGGGCGCCTCTCAAGTGCCGGGGGGTCCCCGAGGGAAGCTGGATAGTCCAGGACGGTGCAAATGGGATTGTGTTCCCTCTGCATTAGTCCGTCAGTAAATTATGTCTAATTGTCTGCAGAAGGCACCGAACCAAGCTTTTCTTCCTTCCCCGAACTCCTGACGAAATCAGCCAGGAGTTTGTTGAAAACCATTTTCTTGAAGTGTTAACGTTTTGAAAGTCTCGAGAAGAAAAAGGGCTGAAACTCGTAATTGCTTAATTTCAATTCCTTGAAATTAAGGTGCAGAGAAGGGGTGTGGAACACAGGCCGGTGTGTCCCTCTGTCCAGAATTGCATCAGAGGGGTGAGAGGAGGAATGCTTAACTTGTGTCCTTATATCGTTCACACGCCGATGTGTGCAGGAAGTTGTAAAGGCAGTTCTGCCTTATAGGAAACATAGTTCTGGAATCTAATGTCACTGTGCCTGTGACCTTTCATGTAGATTGTAAAGTGAATTTGGGGAAGCTTTTCAGTCTCAGGACTTTCAGTAACAGGACTTTCTGTGAGTGCTCTCTTCTAGAAAAATCTTTTGCACTATGGCTGTTAACCCCAAGCCTGATTTTTTGTTGTCACAAATATAAGAGACTAGCCTTGTTTTAATGTTTAGAATTAAACTACTTGTGATGTGCCTTTGGTTAGCTACAGTAACTGTGTATCCGAGATGATAACTAGGAAACTAAACTGGCTTTCAGGATTATAGTGCAAATTTGGGAGTTTCTACTTGCCTCAGATTTCTAAGACTCTGCACTGTTCGTTTATTGAGAGCTTGTTCTTTAGTCCCTTACTAAATGTGTCGAGGTGAATTCTGACTTCCTGCTGAGGAATTGCACTTAGCAGACTGTGAAGACTGATACAAACTGCTTAGGTACTCTAGAGTCTTCACCAAATTTTGTTATTACTGCTAAAATTTTTTCAGGGTGCTGCCTTATGGCATTATGTAATGTGTCTATTCCATTCAGAAAGGGACTTTCTAACATTATCATGCACTACTTTTAAACTTTCCTCTTGAATGGACACACCTGAGGACCAGGATGAGGAGCTCTCCAGTTTGCATCAGCATATTTTTAGTGAGACAGCACTTAAAAGCAGTAGAACTGCTGTCAGAAATCTGATCAGATCCATGCCAGTAATTTATTTTTTTTATTCTCTAATTTTGATTTAATAGCTGGGTAGTTCAGAACTTTTTTTTCTAATATTTTGAATTAATAACTGTAATCCAGGTGTCTGCGTGCTGCTCTGTTTCTCACTTGTAAGCAGTTTGAACTTAGTATTAAATCATAAATAGCAGTTATTATGAAATAGGATGGATATATTATTGTGGATTAATGCTCTCTGGGTGTTACTATATGTTCTTTTTGGAAACTTACAACAGTAGCTATATTTGATGGGGAAATAACAGGGCAGCCCTTCAGTGCCTGGTGATGTAAGATTAAGTGCCTGGTGTGGTCAAGTTACAGCCACGTTTATTTTATCCCAGATTACTGTCTCATTAAAATACCAACCCACCCCCACTGCTTAAAATCAGGCTCAGTGTGGGCATTTGTACCATGGATGGGTGCACAATAACTGGGACTTTTCCAGCCCTCCTAACTAGATTTTCTTGCTCACTTTTGAGTGCTGGCAAACTACAGCAGTGACAACCAACATGTTGCTTTCCACATGTTTTAAAATAAGCGTTCTTGGTTGGTGTATTTGAGATGGCTTAGGAGTTTCTAGTTTGTGACTCCAGTCAGTTGTAGAACTGGCAGTTTTCTCTCTTTGGGATGGAGGGGCAGCAAGAGGTGTTGAGGGTTGAGGATATCTCATATTTGGAAGCAATGTGCTGGTTTTGTTCTTGCCATTTTTCTGTGACATGTTTCAGGTGACTTGAAAAGAACTAATTTTTTTGGCCTAGGTTTTGCTAAATCAAGTCTGACTCTGTAAACCTTTTATCTTAATTAATGTTATTATGTATAGTTGAATGGGGTACTAGAAAAACTTGTAAAAATCCTCCTGCTCTGCTCTCTAGATGTGTATGTGGTATTTATTCCTGATTGCCTATTTGGAACATGTTGGAAAGGTTAAAGCAGATCTTCTCCTATTGACAGAAATAGTTAGCTGGCAAGGGTTCTTGGTTCTTTTTTTTTTGTTACTGTCATCTAGAAACAAGATTTAAAACTATATTCAAAAATAGTCCTTGTGTTTTGAAGCCTTATCTTTACTTTCTAAAGTGTACCTTTGCAGAACTCTGCAAAGAAGTGGCTTTCTGGCAGATGATCCTTTGCATGGTTGTATGATGCCTCATTAATTCTGCAGGATGCATCAGAGGACAAATATAAATGACCACTTGTTTAAAAACATGTGACCTACTTAAAACTGAGTTTGTCTTCTGAAACATTACACCCCAGTCGTAATTTAGGTGGCAATGCTAAGATGATCTTTAAATTAGTGTCAGCATTTTTTGCCTCATTTGCTTTTATGTTGGGTATATTCCTTGTTAGAAAGTGGGTGTGAATTGTTACATACTGGCACTTGAGCTGAGAAAATTCTAATGTTGACCTGCAGAAAAATCTTGAAGTGCAGTAGCATTTCCAGTCTCTTGTAAAATAAAAAAAATTACCTGCTTTGTTGTGGACTTTACTCATAGAGGGCAGTCTGGTAATAATAGTAGTAATTCTTATATATGTCCTCAAAAGTGAAAACCACTTGCCGTGGTGGAAGTCGTGGGGAAGAGTGCAGAAGTGGTGATAGCTGAAAGGCAGGACAATGGATTTGGAAAGAGAACAGATACCTAATTAATTTTAAAACAACTCTGACATTTCATTAATTTTTTTTTTTTTTTTGGTATTTTCTTGTCATTGCAAGAAAAGGAATTTGGTCTTTTCATGCTACATTAACGTGGCTGTGTCATCAGACAAGAACAGTTACATGTGAAGCTACTGCAGTTCTTTTGGACCAACGTATGTCCACTTAATATAATTTTGTGTCTGTTTGTTTTTCTGAATGCAATGGTTGTCCGTATTTTTACTTTTTTTTTTTTTTTTTAATTGAGGAAATCTTAATGTAGTAAGGACAAGCCATTCATATTTTGCAAGTGTCTTATCCTTTTCAAATATGTTGGTGAAAACAGATCTACATTCAGTTATATGGGATCTGGGTGTAATGGCCCACTTTATATTTTTACTTTTGCTCTTAAGTAACATTATCAGACTTTAGAATTTTCTCCTGTGTTAATTTTTTACACATGAACAGGATTGATAGCTATTTTGAAGAAGTGGTCATATGCAATAACAAACCTGAGCACAACAGATTTGGAGCACCAGGTATGAAAAATAACATGCAAAATAGTGAAACATATAACAGATGTTATTTTATATTCAGATATTCTGAAATACGTTGGAGTGCTCATTTTTATAAGTTGGCTGTTACATAGGAATTTAGATAGTGCCACAATACATGATATCTGTGCCAGCACTAAAACTATAAAAGTCTTGTTAATATGTTCAGTGAGCTGTACTGAGAGTGCTGTATGGTCTTTTATATGTTTGAGCATCTCCTTTTGGGCAAGAAGCTTCTTTTCACACAGAAATGCCTGAAAAATCCAGAGCTTCCCCTCTGAATTGGGAATAGATGCGAGATTTCATTTTGGGGCAGACAGAGGTGCTTTTGTGAACTTCAGCCTTTGGACTATGGAAAGTTAAACTTGTTCAGGCAAACAGAGCTCACCAGCAGTGTAAAGGGGAAGCTTTAACGTTGGACTTTTGAAGTGGAAAAAACCAACTGCTTGAGAATATTTTTATCTTTGATAAAGTGGTGTTTCCCCCTGAAACTACTTAATGCTTCCCATTACCTCCAGCATAACCCTTTAATATTGAATACTGTTTTGGCATATTTCTATTGCAATTTAAAAGGGATCATTTATTTCAAAATAACAAAATAAACCAAACTGTCAACCTTTTAATAACAAGGGAAACTTACATTTATTATTATGGCTTCAGGTAACCTGTTTTCAACTCTTCAGGAGTCAGGTGAAACTATTTAATAATTGTTTTGGACACTGTTTTCATTTTTATCAGCAAACACAGCAAGGCATTATGAGGGAAAAGGAAAACAGTGACCCTGAATTCTTGGAACACTCAAAAGCAGAAATGGAATTTGTAGAATAACCCTCAAAATGTAACCTATCCTGTGCAGTTCAGCAAAGCTAATTCTGTGTTTTTAATACAAATTTGAAAGCAAGTGTATATCTATAACAGGCTATTAACAATGAGACCTCTCAGCCATGCTCTGAAAGCTTTTTCTTCTTGGTAGCCGAACAGTTATAACAAACCAATGCACAAAAGATGTTCAGAGAGCACATTCTGTTTAGATAGCGAATGTTAAAGCCGGTGTGCTTTAACTTTGTATTTCTGAAGAGTTTTCCTGTGAAACCCTACAAATTGCTGGAGGATTTTTTCATTACCTAAAGGAGCAATATTGGACTGAATGGTTGAAAAATACTGGCTTTTAGAACGTGATGTGAGTCTCAAATGTTCATTTCTGGTTTTGCATCTTTTCACAGGAGCTGTGGAGGTGTCAGTCCGGAGTCCATTTGCCTGCTGGTTTAGTGCTATGCTTTATTGCTTTGGTGGTTCACTTTTGTCCTCGCTGATGCTTGCAGAACCTCCAGTTGCATTTCTGGCCAAGGGCGCAAATATTCTCCTGGCGTCTTCAGTCTGGTAAGCAGCCACAACTGAGTTGGATGGGTAACATCGGTTCTGAGGAGGATACATGTAAGCTGATACTACACCATCGAGGTTCCATGAAAATCAGTGCCTTGACTTAAAAGTGTTATGGATTTGGATCCTGTCTCTTCATCCAGAGTCACTGCAACAAAATAGCTGTTAGGATCCTTCTTCTGTAGGAATAGAATGCTTGTAAGGGAGCAATTCTTATGGGCTGTTGTATAGCAAAGTGCTCTGTTGCTAGACTAGACTTGTCTTAGGTTTTTATAGTTTTCCTGGTCAAACAACTGAAAACATTATTTTGTAATAAAGTGATTTTGATTTGCTGGTTTTCTGGACACAGGTAAGTCATAGATGCAATCTAGTTTTATAAAAGTAGCTCTTGAAGGCTGTATGCAAAAATTCTGGACTTTTCTGTAACTGCGGATCCAAGACAGATCTTTCTTCTCCTCCAGTTTCTGCCACCAGACATGACTTTTTTTTTTTTCTGTGTTTTGTCCCTTCCCAAATGGATGGGTGTTGTAGTGGAAGACAGAGCTGAATGGGAAGTCAGGTATGTGGCAATTTGGCCTGTTTTGAAATTCAAAAAAAGAGCTGGAGTTATTGTCATATAAATGTGGCCTTCCAGTGAATTTAATTTATTCCAGAAAGTGATCTTTGAAGAAAACCTCAAACTTAACAAACATTATGATCAGCACTGGAGTTTTGAATTTTAAAAGCTCAATTCCTGCCTTAGAAAGAGTCTGACCTGCTTAAAATCCTTTAGCTCCTAGTAGCCCCTTAGGTTTTATAATTGCAAATGAATTAAAATGACAGTGTTTCTGTCTGTCTGTGTATGTTATATTAATTTTCTGGCGTTTGTGTTGCAGTGAAAGATGACAGATTTTATTTAGGCAGGGGAGTGAAATGAAAAATGTGCAATAATTAGTGCATTGTTAACAAAGCTTATAGAATCTGCCTATAGTTGCTTAACAAGTGATATGACTTAAAAGTACACTTGAAGAGAGCATGATTTCTCTTGAACTTTACATGGTCAAATGTGATTTGCTGTGCACAAACAAAACAGGGCTTTAACGAGGAGCTGTGAATGTTATGAAACCTTCTAAGCTCCTACTTTTACAAAGTTCTCTCTTCATGACTACAATGACCTTAATTCTCGGTCCCGGATGGTGCAAAATGAAATTCGCCAAGCCAGACATTAAATAAGGGGGGTTGTGCTACACTTGAGAAGTGCTCCTAAATAGTCTGTAGGACAGCGGCATCTACTGTTGGCAGAGGTTACAGGCAGAAGTGCCGTGGTCGGTCTGCAGGGTCAGGTTCAGTCCTATTATCAGTGCTTCAGGGTCCTAATCCCACCTCCTGCAGCTGTAAATTAATTCTGATGAGGGTTCTCTGTTGAGTTGGTGGCTTAAATGGCTGTTTGCAGTAGTCTCTAAAATACATGCTTTGTACATGTCTTTGGCTTCCTGTCAGCTGAAGCTTGGTTGCGTACGAAGGCATCTGACTTTACAGTGAGAGAAAAAGGGAAAGGAAAGGCCTTAGGAAGTCTTGGTAGAGAGGACCGAGCTCAAAAGCCTCAAGAAAAGGGCCCGTGTCTCTTTTAGAAAATGAAAAGGTATCCTTCCCATTTTTAAATACTTTCTCTGCTTTTACTTAATTATTACTCTCTTATTCCTGTGCTGAAATAATCTACTTAAAATAACTGAATCAAGTTACTTAGTCTTGGTTGTTTGTTTTTAATTTAATTCAGTTCTCTGTAAGAACTAAATTTTGTTTATTAAGAGATACAATAAAACAACACATAATCTAATCTTTTAAAATATACTGTCATACTAGGATTTCATCGTTAGCCATTTTTACTTTTGATGCCTTAAGCCCCTAATGTTTTTTTATTTTTCTAATATAGGTGAGCCTTATAAGTTTTATAAGTAGATTTTAAAAGCAGCAACCCTCCCTCCCTTGTCCCTTGTCCCTTTCCCTTTCCCTCTAGACACATTCCTTAACCCTCCTACCTCCGAATCCAGTAGAAATGTTTAGTCTTTTGTCAAGGCAAGGCCTAGATTGTTGGCAGAACAGCATATCAGGGCCTAAACCACAGAACACGGTCAAAAACTGGGTGACTGTGTACCCTTTGTGCTCTGATGAAGACGGGATGAACAGAGGGCCCCAAAAAGCCCCCAGACCCATTTTAAGGGGCTGGACCCGGGGCGGACCAGAGTAAAGGCCACAGGGTGGGCACATCTGGGATCGGATGGATGGTATTATAAAATGTAACCTCTCAGGCACGGCCTGGCGCGTCTTGTAACATCTCAGCCTTGGCAAATAAACCCTTTCTTATCTCACCCCTAATTAACTGCTCCGGAGATTTTTTTCAGCACCTAACTCCCACGGCAACACTTTGTTCTAAAAGCAGAGATGGTTGTTAAATTTTGAGTTGATCAAAGATATTGTTAAATTTTGAGTACTGTGCTTTCAATGCTTTGAATAAAGAAATGTGCTTCTTACTGGCAAGCTGGAAAAGCTAGAATTGGTGAGTACTGAGACGTTAAATGTGTTTGAAAAGAGCTGTGCATTTCACTTGGCATGACACTAACTAGTAGAGGCATTCTTGCTGAAGTTACATAATTCCATGTACCTGCAGTATGAAAGCACAGGTCAACATTTAATTTACCACCCTGTTGTAATCCTGTTAAAAAACCCCCAACAAACAAAACCAAAAACAAACCCCAAAACAAAACAAAACAAAAAAAAAACCAAAAAACCCCAAACAAAACCAAACCCCCAACCAAACATAAAATAACTCACAAAATAAACAGAAGGTTAGTCAGACACAAATTTAATAATTTGAATCATAAAAACATGATATGCAAGCTATAGAACAGGTGGTAAAATTGAACGCTGTTTCTCATGTACTTTAAGAGATTCTTCTGTGGGACAATGAGGCAGTAAGATAATGTTTGATTTTTGGTGCAAGAGCTCAAGCGTGCTTAGAAGCTTTCCAGATTTGTCCCAACACGTGTATCACAAGACAGTGAGTTATGCATTACTAATCATATTCCAAAAGATAGCTTTAAAGATTATTAAAAGGTAATTCCTTAGCAAAAATGTTCTCATGATTTCCAGGTATCTGGTGTTTTACTGCCCACAAGACATTTTCTGCCGGTGCTTTTCCTTTCTGCCTCTTCGTCTCCTGGTTGCAGGAATGAAGGAAGTGACTAGGACTTGGAAGATAGCAGCTGGAGTTGCACATGCAGACAGTCACTTCAAAGATGCCTGGCTTGTTATGGTGGCTGTGGGCTGGGCCAGAGGTAATGTACACCATGTCTTGTTGTGACGGCTTGTGATTTTTTGAAGTGGTGTTAAAATGTCTGCCCTGCCAGCATTAACTGTAGTACCATCCTTGCTGTGCTGGATGTTATAGTCCTGATGAAGTCTGTTATCCCCTCAAGGAAAAAGCCTATGCAACAGTTTTTCTGTCTGGATTAAGGATGACATTGAGTGACTTGGAGGGAACTTTGTCTTATCCCTTCAGGTCTTATGAGAACTTGTAGGATGGGCAGTTGATGACAATAAAGAAGTAGATCTTCTGTGTAGCTGTTGCTAAACTTATAAACAGTGTTATTTCCTCAGAGCTGTCTCTTTACACATGGCTGAACAAGAGAACTGGTTATCTTAGTTTTTTTTGCGTTGTAACTATTACTCAGTTTTAAACATAAGAATGAACCTTCTTGCCTGCATGCTGTTTGGAGCAGAACTCTGGCAGCCACCTTCCTAGCATCTCTATTTGTAGTCACACCATTAGAAGAATCCCTCCTGGAGGTGACTGTGCAGCTCTTGTTTCTGCTGGATTCTATTCTTCTGTGGGAAGCAACAATATGATGATCTAACGTGTTATGTTCCCAGGTTACAGCACAGATCAGTCTCATTGGCCACAGTGTCCTACACCTCCTTATATCTTGTACTCTTTTAATGTAAAAATACATACCCATTTTTCTCACAGAGGGTTGTCATAGTTTATAGAGACATTCTCTGTACTTATGATGACATGATGAATGCAATCATATAAACCTCTAGAGATGTACCTTGGCAGTCCAGGCATTTGTGGTGATGAGTGCCTCAGTTCAGGTGTTATCACTTAAAGGTAAAACTCTGGAGTTTCATGGGGGCTGTTCAAGTCATGCTTGTATAAAAGATTGCATTAGTCTTTTTAAGTCTGGGCTTTGGGTGCCACATTTAGCACCTGGTGTCATGACTTTTGTTGTGAGCAATAATAGATTGCACAGCAGTGGTAGCAGTCAGTGGAGGTTTATCGTAAATCTTTGCCATTTCAGGAGCTGGTGGTGGCCTAATTTCCAACTTTGAGCAGCTGGTGAGAGGAGTGTGGAAACCTGAAACCAATGAACTACTGAAGATGTCCTAGTAAGGTTTTCTTTTTTAACATGTTAATTGTTGTTTTGTTACCTTCTTCAGTTGGCACTCACTTTTAGCGTTTGAGGTCTAAAAAAAAGCAGTAGAATGTGCTTGTACTCAATGTTTTGTTCTGTATCCTGTGAAAGAGGGGTCGATGATATTTTAATCATTTTATGTTCACATCAGTAGAACAGCAAATGGGAGAGACAAATCAACAAAAATTATGTATCAGAAAGCAAGTATTGAGCCAGTGTGGAGTTGCTAGAAAGTAGTATTGACTCAATTTTCTTACGGGGATGTGGTCCTCTAGCGAAAATGAAAGGACAGTGGTACCAGAAGTGTATAAGTGAAGTCTGCACTTCTGGTATGTGTTCTGAGCATCACTAAAATGGCTTCCTTTGAACATTGTCCCTCTTACTTGCGCTTCCGGTGCTTCTTTCCTCCATAAATATCAATTATTTGAGGAGGTGCAAATTGGTTATTCAGTATAGCAAAAACGTCCTGCAGGATAGGAAATGTTACTTCTCTTGCAGAAGGAAAGAATGGAAATATTACATGGCTCTTGTAAAATGGGAATTGAAACAGGCTAGAAAGACACAAGCTATTATTGTAAGTCAAAATAAGGTCACTGCAATAATTTCCTAAAGTTCTTTTGATCTTTCCCATGTAACTCTCAGGTCTTTAAAAATAATATTTTTTTTAAAGTTATCTTGCTTTTCTGCAGCACTCTTAGACACAGAATAACAGAAATGACATTTGCAGCCTGTTCTTTGGCAGTATTTCAACTTTTTGTGGATTGTGTGAGTTGTTGGCGTTTTCTGAAATTCCAGGTATTTAGAATTTATCTCCCTCTGTCAGTGCCGAAGTGGCGGTCTTGAAAGCAAACTTCCAGAAAGAAGAGGACACTGTCAAAAATAGCACTGTAAACCCAAATAACACTTGTCCTTACAGGTGCAACACCAGAGCAGTGCTTACTGACTGTCACCACTTGCATATATTCTCCTTTTCCGTGGAGGATATGGCTCAAAGTAACTCAAAAAAGATCTTTAAAATTTCGTTTATATATAGATCTTAAGAACATTAAATTGAACTAAGTTACAAAGTTAAATGGATCATACATCCTGCAAGTGGATGAGTTGAGTGTATACGCGGAGTTGCTTTTTGGAATTCCTGAGCAGGAAGTTGGTGCAGCAAATCTCTGAGTTACTGAAAAGACAGTGAAGGATGTGTCTACCCTGGAAGCTTTGTAATAACAGGAATGTCACCTGCACAGGTCACATGTAGGTGCAGATTAAGAAATGCATGGAATTCTTCTGCCAGTGTACTGGTGCTCTCTCTTCAGAAGACTGGAACTGACCAAAGTTCTCTTGTTTTCTGGCTGCATGCCTAGCAAGGGATTTACCATCACAAGCAAGATCTGTACTAGAATGGGAATCTTTGCATGTCTTAAGCCAGCACAGCTGTGTTGGCAAAACCTGGTGGCATAGGCCTGGCTCAAATTGGGCCTAAGCTGACTACAACCCTAGAGCTGCTGGACTGTTACAGTGGACCAAGACCTTGACTATGTTGCACTTCAACACCTTAAGCAACTCCTTGGAGTAACTAACTACTGGAGTATAGTAGAGGAACCTGTTTTTAAGTCTAGTCTGAGTGTGCAAGCTTTGTGATTTAACTCTTCAGTAAAATGTATTGGGAGAGGAAGAAGGGAAGCAAGCTGATGTATAGAGTTTGAATAGAAGCATTATTTGAGAAGGATTTGCCAAATAGGAACTTGCTGGGTGTGTAAAGTAGTGCTGAACTCGTTCTTGTCCGTGTTACGGACAGAAAGCGTAGTAAAGTGAAAGTCTTAATGTAATTATGTCTAGGTTTTAGACCTTATTACTGTTACTATTCAGAAAAAATTCTTTTGCACAATTAAGAATATTTACTGCTTTCTAGGCCACGGCAGCTTTTGCTGTAAAGAAGAAAAATTAACATTATTTGTTTGACTTCCAGCCCTGTGAAGATAACTTTGATAGGAGCAGTTCTTTTCACCCTGCAACACAGCCAGTACTTGCCAATTGCAAGACACAACCTTGTGTTTTTATACACCATCTTTCTTGTCATCTTCAAGGTAAGAATTTGGAAGTGTTGCAAGTAACTGAATAATAGGAAATATTTTATTTGGTTATTAGAATGCGTGCTTCTGGGTGGGAAAGCCAGCTCGTAGTAAAGTCAGAAAACTGTATTTAGTCTTCTCTACACAAGCAGAACAGAAGACCTGTTCTGTTACTGACACTGTTCAATGTATGGGGAGAAAAAAAAAAGAGAAAGAAGTCAGGAATTTTGGCACCCAACATTTGATATTCCAGGCTTATATGCTTTAACCTCAAACAAAGCTTATGCTTGTAGAAAGAAACAAAGTTCTTTGTCTTTTATGTGTTTGCAATACAAGCCAACCAGACTCTCATCTAGCTTACAGTATTTGCAAAACAAGTATTTAGGCAGGAAGAGAAAGTATATCAAAACCACTCTGAGGTAACTGTATCTGCTTTTATAATAAAATAGGCACTCTTGAATTCTTCAGTCCCTCCAGTCTTGTTCATTTCCAGGATGATGCCTGTCTTCAGGATTATGAGCTCATAAGAAAGCACAGTCTGTTAGCAGAAATCTGTCAGTTTTAAGAGCTTCAGAGCTGTTGTTGAACAGATCAGAGACTGACTGAAAGTGGTGGTTGCTAGTCCTTTCTGTGAAGTAGCTGACAACTTTAGTTCTACAGACGTTGCTTTAGGGAGCCGAGACTTTGAGCTAATATTCATGATTCTCCACCTAAACCAGTAAGGTGTTGTTGAACTGGGGATGCTGGGAATGGAGAAGGAAAGGAATGTTATTCTGGAACCGAGAGATTACAGCTCTCTTCAGGAGCTGGCTGTCAGAGTACACTGAAGTGACTAAATCCTTACACTGATGGTCATACTGACAGTCAGGAACTTGAGCACCCACTTAATAGCAACCCACTAATAAAGCAACAGTTGTGGATCTGGCATAGTCCTGTAATAATGTCTTTTAGAAACTTGTCATGTCTCTGAAAACTGTAGAAACTGTTGCAATATAAACTTGTCCAGTACCTGGACCTATAAACTGTTGTTTTTTCTACCCTGATTCCAAGTTGTGTGTCCTAAGGAATGTCTGCCTAAACCTATGAACCTTATGGAACGAGTATGGCTGTCTGAAATTCTAATTAAAGTCTGGTTGTGCATATATGTTTAGGTGCTTACACATTTATTGTAACTTGATCCTTGTTCTTCTTAGGTAAAAATGATGTTGACAAGATGTGCAACTTCTCCACTTGCTCCCCTTGAGGCTGCATTAGGCCATGTGCTTTTTGGCTTGGGAAAGGCACCTTCCAAAGTGAAAGGTGAAAGTGCCACATCTTCCAATCGCTCTTCAACCTGTGACCGGCCCTCTGAGCAGCACCACGATGGTGTTAAGAAAAGACAAGCAAAGAAAACAGAATAAGTGACTTGAAATCCTTGATGGTCTTGACTGCTGAAGATGTTTTAATGCCAGATTAGGCTGGCTGAGGAGTTTCTTTAAGGAAATGCATTTGTGAGGAGAGAACAGGACTGTGTTGTGGTTCGCCTTTGGAATGTGTTATATAAGCTACTGCTCCTATGTCTGAATGCCCAGGTTGGATTTGTAAGTTAAAACTACAGTTTTTTATATACTTACAAGTTTACTAATTTTTGTATTCATGATAACTTAAGGTGCTCACGTGCTAAAAGGGTAGTTTTGAAAATGTGAAAATCATATTTGTTATTTTTTCTGATATATCACTTGTTTCTCCTCTTCCTAGCCACCAGTTCTTATGTTTCTTTTGGATAACATTGATTTGTACTGTCAAGTGTTCACTGCAGCACATCCCAAATAAGAAAGTCATCATCTGAGTAAGGCATAATCACATTGTACTGTGTAAAATCATAAAAATGTATCACACTAATGCCTTTAACTAGAAAAATGACCGAATTATAATTATTATTATTATTATTATATTATATTATTATTATGTGTAATTCACATTGCACTGGTCTAGGTTTTCTGCATTTACTGAAATATTTTTCAATATTTTTATATTTTTTGAAATGAGAGTAAATTACTGGCACTTTAAAAAATCTTTACAGTTAGCAAATAGAAATATTCGATATTTTTGTTGTTGGCTTACTTTGACACTTACTTTGCAAGCGTTTGATATGTATGTGTTTTTCATGTTACACTGGGGATTTGCATGTGGTTTGTAGTTATCTTTCAGTTCACCTGAGACTAGACATCTCTGCCTGCATTTTTGTCCAAGCATATGCACTTTTTTCTTTTCAAAGACAAACTTTCTTATAAAAAAGAGGATTGGACAGTACATTTGCCTTGTTCACTCAGCACCCTGGGCTGGAAGACAGGGATGAGGAGCAGAAGGAAGCCCCTGTAATCCATGATGGAAGGGTCAGTGACCTGCTACACCACTCAAAGTCCATGGGGCCAGATGGGATCCATCCAAGGGCACTGAGGGAGTGGGTGGAAGAGCTTCCTGAGCCACTTTCTGTCACTGACCAGCAGTCCTGGCAAACTGGGGAGGTCCAAGGGCTGGAAGTTGGCAAATGTGACACACATTTACAGGAGGGGTTGAGAGGAAGGATCTGGGGCGCTTCAAGCCTGACCTCGGTGCTGGGGAATGTCATGGGGCAGATCATCCTGAGTGCCATCATGCAACATGTACAGGACAACATGGGGTCAGGCCCAGCCAGCCTGGGTTTAGGACAGTCAAGTCCTGCCTGACCAGCCTGGTCTTCTATGACGAGGTGACCGATCAGTGGATGAGGGAAAGGCTGTGGATGTGTCTACCTGGTCTTTACTAAACCTTTTGACACATTTTCCCACAGCATTCTCCTGGAGAAACTGGATGATCATGGCTTGGATGAGTGCCCTGTTCACTGCGTAAAAAACTGTCTGGATGGCCCAGCAAGGGGTGGGGAATGGAGTGACATCCAGTTGGGGCCCCTCACCAGGGGTGTGCACCAGGACTCAGTGTTGGGGCCAGTCCTGTTTAATATCTGTATTAACAGTTGGGATGAGATCAAGAGTACCCTCAGTCAGTTTACTGACAACACCAAGCTGGGCAGGAGTGTTGGTCTGCTGGAGGGTAGGAAGGCTCTGCAGAGGGATCTGGACAGGCTGGATTGATGAGATGAGGCCAATTGTGTGAGGTACAACAAGGGGAAGTGCCAAGATTTGCACTTCAGTCACAAAAACCCACAGCAGCGTTCCAGGCTGAGGGAAAAGTGTCTGAAAAGTTGCCTGTTGGAAAAGGACCTGGAGATGCCAATTGACAGCGGCTGAACATGAGCCCAGGTGTGCCCAGGTGGCCAAGAAGGCCAAAGGCACCTGGGCAGTACCAGCCATAGTGTGACCAGCAGGACCAGGGCAGTGACTGTCGCCCTGTGCTGGCACACCTTGAGTGCTGGAGGCAGTTCTGGGCCCCTCAGACAAGAGAGACATTGAGGGGCTGGAGCATGTCTGTATCAGGGGTGAATTTATGCTGATACTTTTGGTCTGTGTTCGGCCCAGCCACCTGTAAAAGTTTTGTTCTTTCCCTGCCAAGTTATGAGAAAACAAGCACTGATAAAATGGGAAATTTGTCCTTGAAGAGAGTTCTTGTATAAACTATATTTAATTTGTATTCTGTGATTGGCTAATTGTTCTCCAAGGTCGCTTGAAGGAGAAATTGAAGACTATAGTGATGAAGGATGCCCCCAGACTCATTTGGGAAAGACCCCCCCGAGTGCAGTATGCAGGCACAGGGAAAGCCGCGCCTGCGCAGAAGAGATGCACGTACATAACTGGGAGGTGGGACTGAGGGCCTCGGGCTGGGCGGTGATGACCACTCCTGCCTAGACAGACGTAATCAGTTAATTGTATAAAAAGCAGTTAGCTCTTGTTGGGTAGGTAGCAAGCTTCACATCAAGGACAACGCTGCCTTTTGGCGGGGATGTCTGACTATTTGTGAACATACTGACTCTCCAAGGATGCAGCTTCTGCTACGGGTAATTATAGGCATGCTAGGTCGGTAAGATAACTTTATGGGCAACAGCTGGGTGACTGGGGAGGTCGTGCTGGGGGCTTATTTCTCTCTTCCTTCTTCCCTTTTGGGTTTGTTTGTTTTGTTGGCCACCTCTTGGTAATAAATATCAGTTTCCTTGAGCTTCCAATGGTGTCATGGTTTCAGATTCAGTGTGGTCCGAACCCCTCCCTAATACACATGTCCAGAGAAGGGATTGGAGCTGGGGAAGGATCTGGAGCACTAGGAGCAGCTGAGGGAGCTGAGGGGTCTCAGCCTGGAGAAAAGGAGGCTCTGAGGGGACCTTCTTGCTCTCTACAACTCCCTGACAGGAGGGTGGAGCCACATGGGGTCAGGCTCTGCTCCCAGGGAACAAGGGAGAGGACAAGAGGAAACAGCCTCAAATTGTACCAGGGGAGGTTTAAGCTGGCTATTAGGAAAAATATATTGACTGAAAGCGTTGTCAAACACAGGAACAGGCTGCCCAGGGAAGCAGTGGAGTCACCGTCCCTGGAGGTATTTAAAAGCCATGTGGATATGGCACTTGAGGACATGGTTTAGTGTTGGGCCTGGCAGTGCTGGGTTAATGCTTGACTTGATGACCTTTAAGGTCCTTTCCGATCTAAACCATTCTATAATGTCAGAAGCATGGAACTATTTATTAGCATTTGCTGAAATCTTGCTTTCTGCTGGTTGTATCTTTTTTTGCTCATGATATAAAGCATTTCTAAAGGGGATACACTTCATAATTGAGAACTCTGACATTTTAGAGATGTTACATTGCATAAGAATATAATCTTTTCAGAGGAGTCTTTAATTGATGTGCCAATTTTTAGAATAAATTATTTTTATAAAATTAGATTATTTTTCTTCAGAGAGTACTGCTCTGAAGAGTATTCTTCAGCAAGAGGGGGTAGGTTAATCTTCATGCAGGGATGCCAAGAACCATGTGGAGAGAGATCTAATTTGAAAAGACAAAGTTCTAGTTCCAGGTATATACCTAAATTTAGAAAAGCTGTCACCAGTGCTGTGCTTAGAGAAGAGAAAAAGAAAAGAGCACCAAAGAAATTTCTTGTGCCTGCCTAGTCACATTTTCATGGTAGTGACCAAGACCATTGAACTCAGTTTGAAATCAAACTTTATAGCAAATGTGCTGTACCTTGAAAGCTAAAATTACTATTTTCTTTAACACTGAAGAATTAAAAAACCCCACAAACTCTTCAGTCAAAGTAACAGTATTGGAGTATTCACTTGGTGTTTCATTTTTAGTAGCTTGATATCAGAGATGTATGGACTAACTTGGTGCTGCCAACTAACTAGTTAATGATCAACTAGTTGTTAAGAAACACCAGCAAATGATGCGTGTCCGTGGTTTTTAAAACTGGTGGATGGTTTTTTGAAGAGGTGTAATTGTGTATACTGGATCACACACTGGACTGAACACCTTAAAAGTAATACACGTCACACTAAAAATGTATTTTGTTGTGAGACAGAACACAAGTTAAGCTGAAATAAATCCTGTTATATAAGCACCATGAAAACAAACCTTTTGTGTTTTAAAGATCTCACAGGCTTCTGAAGGAGGAGTGCTTGAAAGAACCCCATACTGAATATTTACATGCAAATGTTCTGAGAACTACATTTTGTAATGCAAAAAAGATAAACCAGTTGCTCAGGGTTTAACCTGAATTTTGTAGAAGGCTTAATACACTGTCCAAGATAAATAAAATAAACAATACTTTCCTAGCTTTTGTGCTGATGGTTCTCTGTCTCTGGTAATGTTCTCTGCATGAGAATTCTGGTAAGAATTTCTTATAACTGTTCTGGTAAACTGTGCCAGATGCAGCACAACTGCACACATGAACTAGTTGGCTGTATCTAATTTTGTCATTAGCTTGATAAAATTAGAAGTAGCTGCCTTGTGCCCTTCAGAAGTTGCTTTATCAGCTTAGTTCTTGGGCTGGAAGGGCCTATTCCTGATTAATCCAATTGTTGTTCTGACTAATTTGAGTACACTTCTCTGTAAAAAGAAATACCTTAATATGTGCTTCAGGAACACAACCAAAGTTTCTTGAGATGATAAATGCTATTTGTTTTCCTCTTCTGTTTTTTCTCCACTTCATTTTAATTTTTAGAAAAAAAAGTGGAAATAGGAGGATATCATGCAAACAGTGCTGTCATCTGCAACTTGATTCTTCAGTGTATTATTAGGCAAGACACACAGTTGTTCAAGAATTCCAAACATCTGTCTTCTGTAGGAATCTGAATCTGCTCAGCATAAGGGCAGTGCTGAAATCTAACATCTTCCAATAATCTAGACAGTGAATGCAGGCTTTACTCAGAACAAATGCTCTTAATTTATAAGGTGAATCCTCATTTCTAATGTCTAAGTGAAGTCTTACAATAAGTAGCAGCAGAGAAACAGCATTTGACGCTTAGATGAGAATCAAAAATGTGTTGTAAATAGTAATTTGCATTTGTTCTGATAAAACCGCTCCATTAAGCAATCAGATGCCTTTTGTGAAATGTGTGAAATTGTTCAGCAAGGAACAGATAGCAACATGAACACTGATAGAGAAATACATTAATATTCCCAGGCAAGAACAGCCTATTATTGCACACACTGATCTGCAAGTGAGTTTTATCTACAGTCCAGAAGTAGACTATGGTGATCAAAATATAGGGAAAATATATATGTATATAAGGAAGATATTCTTTATGATGAGGGCGATGAAACACTGAAACAGGTTCCCAGAGAGGTGGTGGATGCCCCATCCCTGGAAACATTCAAGGTCAGGTTGGATGGGGCACTGAACAACCTCATCTAGTTGAAGATGTTCTTGCTTCTTGCAGGGGAGTTGAACTAGGTGACCTTCAAAGGTCCCTTCCCACCCAAACTATTCTATGATTCTTTGATTCTGTGAAAAAACAAAGCTTATTCAAAGTTGTTGATGAAGGCTGCTGTCAAGGTGGTTGAGACAGCCTTACTGACCTTGGGAGCTGATAGGGCCACTGGCATGTAATTCTTATGAAAGGACCCTAAAAGCAAGAAACTTTGCTGTCTTTGGCTGAAAATTTATCAATCCCTCTGGCACATTTTTCTATGATAAATTAAATACAAGCTCTTCTAGTGGTAGTCATTTCAATCAGAGTCCCCTTTGGTTTGGTCAGATTTTCTCCTTCCCGTTAAAAGATGACCATTATCAGACAGTTTAATATCAAGGCTGTATTAGCTAGTCTTATGGATTTTTTTTTTTAGTTGAGGTTTTTTTGGCCCAATTTGAAATAAGAACACTGAAAGATAC